TCCTGCATATTCTTCATAGTTGTGTCTTATGCGCAGCGTTTTCCCTATATCCAGTTGGTTTGTTTTTTTCTCATTAATGGAGTTGTTCAGGGGAGATCTTTTTTTCAGGAGCATTTTGTTGATCTTTTAAGTGTCATGTGAAGTATGTTCCAATCTCTTTAACATTTTATTTTGAAGAGTAAAATGGAAGTAAATGGAATTTTGAAAGTGCCTTGAGTAGATGTACTTGGCTTTGTGTAATAGTTTGAAGTGTAGTTTAAAATCACTACTTGTGGCTGGGCGCTGTGGCTCACGCCTGTAATCCTAGCACTTTGGGAGGTCCAGGCAGGCAGATCACGAGGTCCAGGAGATGGAGACCATCCTGGCTAACATGGTGAAAGCCCACCTCTATTAAAAATACAAAAGATTAGCTGGGCATGGTTGCAAGTGGAGGCTGAGGCAGGAGAACTGCTTGAACCCAGGAGGCGGAGGTTACAGTGAGCGGAGATCGTGCCACTGCACTCCAGCCTGGGTGACAGAGAGACTACCTCTCCAAAAAAAAAAAAAAAAAAAAATTACCACGTGTAAAAAATTGCACCACATATTGAATGACCTATAAAGAAGCTCCAATTCTAAGGAGTATGGTAACTAGTTCTTTAAAATAGCAAGACCGGGTGCTGTGGCTTATACCTGTAATGCCAGCACTTCGAGAGGCTGAGGTGGGAGGGTCACTTGAGCCCAGGAGTTAGAGGCTGCAGTGAGCTATGATCATGCCACCACACTCCAGCTTGGGTGACGAAGCGGGCCTCTTTCTGTAAAGCATAAAAAGGTGAATTAAATAATCAAAAATAAAATATTAAGCCCCTTTCCAATTGATCTGTTTGGTAAGGTGGGAATTCGATGTGCTTGAGTTTCTTAAAGCCACATTTCTCTGTAGAAAGGAGACAATTTTCTCTGCTATTCCTAGTTATTTGGATGATTATAGGGATTAAAAATAGCCATTTGGTCAAGCCGTGAGCTACTGAATTACAATTTTTGCCTAACTCAGTAGGATTTGCCTTTATTTTGATTTGCATTCTTATCTTAATTTAGGAAAAGTTCTTTGTTATATGCTCCATATAACATTTAAAACATATGTAAAGTACTTCGTTCTTTTAGGGAATCTGATTTTAGGAGAGGGCTTCAAAACTCAACCAGATTTTCTTTATGGTTTTCTAGATTCTATTAATGTTTTAATAAAACTTAACTAGTTAATGCTGCTTGGAGAAGACAGAGGCTGTATTTTGAACTTTACATTTCAGAGTTGTCTTCCCTAGCCCTGGCCTGGGTCCCAAACAGAGAACTTAATTCACTCTTTCACTGAAGTATACTCCTTACTTTGATGTCATTGGTATGCTGTCCTAGAGATTTGCTGTGGCTGCGTGGAGTGTTTTAGGTAAGAACTGACCATCCTCTTTTGTTAGATTAGGAGTCTATGAACCATCTTGTTGCCTTTAGTGTTATTTGCCTGGAACTGGAAGGTCGGAGATAGTTTTCTTAGATTAGAAGTCAAAGTCTTTGGTATCTACCTTCCCCTGTCTCCCATGTCACCTGCTGGTTTTTGTTTTTTTGTTTTTCATTTTAATGTTTTTATTGGATAGGTGTCTATTATTGCAGGCTACCTCAATACATTTTTGGATATTGACAAGATATAAGTATGATTAACATGTAAAAAATAACTTACTCTAGTTCTTTTGAACAGAGGACTTGACTTCGATATGTGGCCCTGTTAAGGCTTTTGTTAAGTCCAAGTACTTTTCTGAACTTAGTTCCTTTACCTGTAAAATGGGGTTAGTTGTTAGTAATACCTGTTCTGCCTACTTCAGGAGATTGTTTTGAGGATCAAATGAAATCATGAATGTAATGCAATTTCGTAAATTTTAAATAAAATATTGTATTGCCAAAGATTTTTAAAAAATCACCTCCTTAAGTATTGAATGAATCTGGATTTTCCTTTGAAGTCCCAAATGTTTAATGTAGAAAAGTCTTAATGTGTGTGCTGGGCAGCTTCATTAGGGTTGTCTTCTGTCTTTAATTGACCAGTACTGTTTTATATTTAGCATTGGGGAGCATCAAATTTGTGTTTCAGTGATCATTAATATTTTACACAGTTATTGAATGTATGTGATTTAGTCTTTAACAATCGATTCAATTATTTACATTCCCATGTAAAAAACAAAGTAATGAGTGTTATTTCTCATGTAAATAACATTTCCATGCTTTAATGAAGCATCATTTCTTGACATTTCAGTTTCTCAGTGCCCTGTCTTGAGGTTGGGAAAGCTAAAGGGCAGTCAGAGGTCAAGGTCAGCAAAGCATTATCTTTGACCTTTGAAATCCAGCAGCAGGCATCTCATTGAACCCCACTCCAGCACCCAGGAGCTTTCTCTGCACCTGCCTCCCCTCCAGCCAGCTCAGAGGCTGTGTATGTGGTGTCAGGGGCCTGGCTGTCCTTCCTCTCCTCCGCCTTTTCTTTTTCTTCACCAGCTTCTACTGCATGCCTCTGATGTCCCAGACGGTGTCAGTGGGAGTACAAAGGCTAAGAAACCTGGCCCTGGTCCTCAAAGAATTTATGTTTCCTGTGCAGATATTAAGTTATACTGTCATATATAGTGTTGACACACACTGATACAGATTTTCTGTGAAGTGCAGAAGCACCATTCTAGAAGCAGAGAGGCAGAGGTGGGACTCGTGACTTGCACCTGGAGAGCTGGAGTTCTTGGTCTAGTGGGAGAAAGTGACCTGGATATCATTTTAGTGCAGCGGAGTGAGGACTGGGAAGGGTTCCCTTGGGGCTTCTGCGGCTGGGTTGGTCTGGTGTCTAGTCTCCTACATGGTACCTAGAGTTTATCAGTAAGACGAGCATTGGTAGGTTTTTAAGTTAAAGGAAAGGCAATCATTTACCTGAAACCAAAAATTTATAGGTGTTCTGGGCCATTTATAATCCACCAAATCTGTTTTGTCAGAACAAGTCTATCATCTGTTGTTTTGGATGGAATGTGGCCAGCCCTGCCTTTGGATGTAAGGAAATCAGGAAACACTTGTCAGGTGTCAACACTGTGCCAGACACTGTGTTTGGGGTTTTCACGTAAATCACTGTATTCATTTCTATTGCTGCTTTAACACATTTCCACAAATTTAGTGGCTTAAAATAATCCAAATGTGTCATCTCACAGTTCTGTGGGGTAGAAGTCTGGCGTGGGTGTCACTGGACAAAAATCACCATGTGGGCTGGGCTGCATTCCTCACTGGAGAATTGTTTCCAAGCGCTTTTGGCCAAATCTAGTTCCTTGTGGTTGCAGGACTGAGGAGCCTGTTACCTTGCCTGCCGCCGGGTGGGGGCTGCCTCTGCTCCCGGGCCTCTGTGGTCCTTGCGTGTGATCCCATCAGCCTAGGACTAGCTTGGGCTCTCCCTTTTCCCCTGTGCGCAGTTCTCTTCTTCCTCTCAGAGTAAGATTTGTGCTCTTAAAGCCTCATGGGATTAGATTGGAGCCCCGTGGAAAACCCAGGATGCTCTTCCTGAGGCCTGTGGCAAAGCCCCTTTTGCCAGGACATGTAATATAGTCACAGGTTTCAGGGGTTAGGATCTCCTCCCACAGTTACCCATCCACTTACTATAGAAGCCTGGGAGGTGGTTTTTATTGCCTCTGGTTAACAGATACCACATTTTTTTTGCAAATTGACAGGAACATGGAGATCTCTCTTTTTTTTTTTTTTTTTTTGAGATGGAGTTTCGCTCTGTTGCCCAGGCTGGAGTGCAGTGGCATCATCTCAGCTCACCACAACCTCTGCCTCCTGGGTTCAAGCGAGTCTCCTGCCCCACCCTCAGCTGGGATTACAGGTGCGCGCCACCATGCGCAGCTGATTTTTGTATTTTTAGTAGAGATGGAGTTTCACTATGTTGGCCAGGCTGGTCTTGAACTCCTGACCTTGTGATCTGCCCTCCTTCTCCTAAAGCGTTGGGATTACAGGCATGAGCCACCATGCCTAACCATGAAGATACCTCTTAAATGAAAAAACCGATCCTCTGACTTGATGTGAGGCCGTTGGTGAGGTTTATAGCAGTGGAGACAGGTCCATCAGAAACGGAGCTAAACTTTGGGTTTTGGAGTATTTAGATGGCCTGCTCTGATTACGTAAGTTATGCTAAGAAGTCATTAGAGTAATTCCTCTACTGGAAGAAACACCCATATTGGGAATTTGGGACCTTGCCTTTTCAAGTTCTACACAAAGGACTCTTCATGGGTTGAAAAGTACATGATTCCATGTCCATTTCTAGAGTGGAAACAGCTGCATCAACCCAACAGTGATTCACATTCCTGAGTTTTAGAGGTTCTGATTATTTCGAGGCTCAAGCAAAAGCTCAATACACAATGTGTGTACCTTTATTAATAGTTAGGAATTAGGTGCATCCCATGGTCAAGAAAACAACTGCTGGCGGTCACCAAGTAGTTCACAAACAAGGAGGGCCTCATTTTAGCATGTGGGTGTTTCTGATTTTTCTTTTGAATTTTTTTTCTTTTGCAGTAAATGACAAGCTCTGTCTTGAAATACATTTCCTTTAAGAAACCAGAGTCTGCAATCTTAAGGTTTTCTTTCTTTTTTTTTTTTTTAAGACGAGGTTTCACCATGTTGGTCAGGCTGGTCTTGAACTCCCGACCTCAGGTGATCTGCCCGCCTTGGCCTCCAAAGTGCTTGGATTACAGGCGTGAGCCACCATGCCTGGCCAATCTTAAGGTTTTCAACCTAGCTTTCGGAAATTTATGAACTCCCCAAAATACTGTGCAAAAATTTTGTGTGTGTATGCATTCATGTGTGCTTATGGGGAGGTGATTTATAGCTCTTCATACATTTTCAGAGTGGTTGGATTCCAAAACGTTTTAGAACACACCGCTTGGGCCAGGTGTGGTGGCTCATACGTGCCGTCAGCACTTAGGGAGGCTGAACCAGTAGTATCCACTGAGGTCAGGGGTTTAAGACCAGCCTGGGCAACATAGCGAGACCTCCACCTCCACCAAAAACAAAAACAAAACCTGCTGGGCCTGGTGGTGCACGCCTGTGGGTCTAGCTGCTTTGGAGGTTGATCACCTGATCCCAAGAATTTGAGGCTACAGTGAGCTAGAATTGCAACACTGCACTGCAGCCTGGGCAACAGAGCAAGACCCTCTCTCTTAAAAAAAAAAAAAAAAAAGAACACACCACTTAATATGATATTCTTGTTTGTCAACTATCAGATTTTGTTTAAAAATTAAATACTTCTTTTTAGTGAGATTGTACAGGCACACAGTTCTAAGAGTCAGAAATTAGCAAGGCTTAGAACAAAAGCCAGAAGTCCCCTCCCTTCCCCTTCTCCACCCTCATTCCTGCTTCTTGGAGGTTACTGCTTTAATGTTTTAGACCTTTCTTCTAGATAGTTTATGTGAGAGACGGAGATGTCCTACTGTGGAAAACAACGATTCAGGTCAGTTACCCTACCCCCTCCTCCTTTTGCCCACGTTTTTCTCCCCCCTCCTCTCGGTATAATTATTGTGATAGTGAAGCCAGGCTCGGTAGCTCCATGACTAATCCCAGAATTTTGGGAGGCAAGGCAGGCAGATCACTTGAGGCCACGAGTTGGAGGCCAGCCTAGCCAACACCGTGAAACCCCATCTCTACTAAAAGATACAAAATTTAGTCGGTTGTAGTGTCACACACCTCTAGTCCCAGCTACTCATGAGGGTGAGGCACAAGAATACTTGAACCTTGGAGGTGCACGTTGCAGTCAGCTGAGATTACACCACTGCACTCCAGCCTGTGCGACAGAGGCAGACTCTGTCTCAAAACAAAAATTTACTGTGATAGTGTGACACATAGTACAATAGTGTGTATCTTTAGTATTCGTCCTGGGATTGGGCCGGAGCTCCTAAAGCCCTCGTTTTTCCTGAGTGATAGGAGGATCACTGGTTAGAATATTTGGTCTTAGGTTTCATTTCCTGACACAAGAGCTTCTAAGACTCTTGGAATCTCTGGAGTGATAGGAGTGTCTTTTGTATGATAATGAGATGACAGGTGGCTTCAGGCCCCTAGACAGGTTCAGGAGTAGGGCTGGTTGTCAGAAAGCCCGAGGCATGATTAAAGAGTTGGACATATCAGCCCCACCCCTACTTCCTCCGTGGAGGGGAGATGGGCTGGAGATTGAGTTAGTTACCAGTGGCCAATGATTTAATCAGTTACGTCTATGTTATGAAAACTCCATGAAACCCTCTGAATATTGGGTTTGGAGAGCTTCTGGATTGGTGAGCACATTCGGTGCTGGGGAGGTGGTACTCCCAGGGGAGCGTGGGAGCGCTGAACTCCCTGCCCGTGTCTCTTGCATTTGGCTGTTCCTGCCTTCTGTTCTTTATAATAAACCAGTAAGAGTTAGTGCCACGTACTTTGGTTCTGTCACCTCTCTTAATTTTCCAGCAACACTGGGTGGCAGATAATCTCCTCATTTTGCTGGTGACAAAATGAGATTGACGCATTGAGTAACTTGTTCAAGGTCACATAATAAGTGGAATTCAAGCTCTGACTCCGAAGCCTGTGCTTTAACCAGCATGCTGCCTCCATGGCCTCTTTATTTGTTGTGATTTTTGGTGTGTCTAGGTCCCGACACCACGTTGACCGTTGTGCCCAAGAGCTATTATAATGGAGCTTTTGGCGGCCCTGCTGAGAACAGAGCCAGCACCTCCGGATTGGCAGGGCAGGGGCCGTTCCTGCTGTGAGCTGCCGGCCGCTCCCTGTAGCCCTTGGCTGATCTTCCTCATCCACTCCCTCCCTAGTTCAGTAGTTCCTGAGTGCCGCCTCTGGAGGAGGAGAAGGCAGCGTTCCAGCCCAGGTGGGGCTTGCAGGTACACACAGGCAGAGGCAGCTGTGTATTGAGCTGACTGTCGGCTGGGACAGTGTGGCTCCAGAGGTGCAGAGAGAATGTTCTGGGACTGCAGAGGGAGCACATGCTTCTGAAAGGGAGGAAGGGGGCAGGCACCGCAGAGGAGGTGTTTTTCAGTTGGACTGTGAGGGAGGAGTTGGATTTCCACATTGGAACTGAACAGCTGAGGCCTTCTCAGCAGTTGGAGATTACAACCATCCAGCTCAAATGTTCAGCTTTTCCTGAATTTTCTTTGTTTTTTAGTGCAGTGCAGTAAGTTTTCAACAGAGAAAAAGCAGCTACCCCCATGTCATTAATGTTCTGCAAATCCTGTGTGTAGTTTCTGATGCGTAGCAGATGGGGGCAGCCTGGGCTGTAAGAGAAGAGCCTGTATGTCCACCTGTTTGGACATCAGTCAGGTGTGGCACAGGGCAGTGATCACTGCCTGCTCCTGAGAAACTCAGCTGCACTTTTATGTGGAGAGAACAAAGAAAGCTGTTGTACAGGGTGCAGGAGACATCTCGCCTGCAAGGCAGTCTGTGCCCTGCGTGAGAAACCAGCAGAACTGTGGCTGAGTACCGCCCCTGCCTCCTCTCCTGACAGCGAACTGTCCTTTGTGCCATGGTAGAAGGCATTTCTGAAGCCTCTGTGAAGGGAGTGATCTGTTACTTGCCCACTGAGCCTTAGGGGCAGCACCAGGGGCTGTGGCTGAAACACAGGCCTTGGCCAGACCTGGCTGGGCATGCTGGCGCTGCCACTGGCTGTGAACTACACAATCTTGGAGAAGTCATTTTTTCTCTGAGCCTCTCATGTAAGATGGGGACCACTATGGCCTTTGCAGGAGGGCAGACGGGTGGAGCGAGTATGAAGAGCTTTGTATGTGTGCGGCATACAGTGAATAAAATGGCACTGATTGGCATTGTTGATAGTAATAGGTTTCATTCAGGAATAAAACTGGTAAAGTAGGCTGGGCGCGGTGGCTCACGCCTATAATCCCAGCATTCTGGGAGGCTGAGGCGGGAAGATCACAAGGTCAGGAGTTCGAGACTAGCCTGGCCAATATGGTGAAACCCCATCTCTACTAAAAATACAGAAATTAGCCGGGCGTGGTGGCATGCACCCGTAGTCCCAGCTACGCAGGAGGCTGAGGCAGAAGAATCGTTTGAACCTGGGAGGCGGAGGCTGCATGCTGTGAGCCGAGATCGTGCCACTGTACTCCAGCCTGGTGACAGAGTGAGACTACTCAAAAAACAAAACCAAACCGAAAAACCGATAAAGTATTTTGCCCAGCCTGGGTACGTTTGGTAGAGCTGAATGAAAGAGCTTAGAAAAAGATGACTTGAGAAACAGCCCAGCAGAGGAGTCAAGCGGGACTTGCTGAATGAGTGAAATTTGGACTATTGACAGACCTGCTGTGTCGCAGGCACAGTGATCTAGTGTGTAAAGGGGGCACAGCTGACTGAAGAATTCTGATCATGACAGTCAGGAAAGGATTGGGGGTGTGTGCATTGGTTTATGTGTTATAGGTCATACAAAATGACAGAGCATTGAGATGGGAGGCAGACTTTTCTCCTCTATAGCTTTACTTTCACAGAACAATCCCATCATGATTTGAAGATTTTTGAGTCGAAACTACATTGTTCCGCTATGCGTTTTGGGGCAAATTTATATATACACATTGGCTTACATATTTCAGATGATACAAGAGAATATATGTGTACAGTAAAAAGCTGAAATTTGCATTCTCCCTTCTCTAGAAGTAACCATTGTGAAGATTGAAGTCTGTGTTCCAGCCATTTTGTATATTATAAATACAGTGTGAATATAGGAGTGTATATATATATATATATATATTGCATAAATACATTTTTAGAGATGAGATATTGCTCTGTTGCCCACACTGGTCTCAAACTCCTGGGCTCAAGTGATCCTCCCACCTCAGCCTCCCAAGGTTTTGGAATTACAGGCGTGAGCCACCGCGCCTGGCCTGTGTGAGCATCTTTACTAGTCGCTCTGTTCAGTACATCCTCCATGTGCCAGGCACTGTTCTGAATGCCTTATATGTGCAAATCCACTTAATTTTTAGAGCAGCTCTACTATTGTGACCCTTTTGCAGTGAGGAAACTGAACCACAGATAGTGTGGGGACCTTGTCCAGCATCACACAGCCAGCGCTGCTGGAATTGAGGTCTGAACCCGCAGCTGGCTTCGGAGCTCTTAGCTGTTAGGCAGACGGCACACCCAAACCTCAGGGCTACCTCCCAAGCCTCGCCTCCAATACCGGCTCACCTGAGCTCTGCTGGAGTCGTGTATGTGATGTTTCTTTCCCCTTTAAGAACACAGGTCTTGGAATTGTCCCAAACCCTGATAGGACCTCTTGAGGACCCAAAACAGGGATTCTTCAAGCCTGCCCCAAGGCCTGATCTTGATTTAGCTACTTGAAAGGTAGACGTGGAAGAGAGTAATTTTGCGAGAACAAAAGGTCATGATGGCTGGGCTGACTCATCCCAGGAAAGAGACCCTCCAGCAGCCGTAGGACTTTGGCCACTTGGTGGAAAAGGAGGAAGTGACCTGGACTGCAGAAACTCAGCCCCAGTCCATCTTTGTCCTGGAGCCTGGCCACCCCATTTGCTTCCCTTCTTCTTGGGTAGAGGGTGTGGGGAGCTTTCTACCCCGGAGGCTGAGCAGTGCGGCTTCTCACCAGGGCAGGCATTTGTCCGTCTGTGGGAATACAAACAGCATTCTCATAACCAGCCGAAATACTCCTGAACCGCTTTTTGTAGGGTGGGGTGGGGCAGAAGTTCATTTTCACTCCTAGGTACCTTTTCCACTTTTACTGCTGATAACTGTGTTGCAGATTAAAGTTTGATTTTTGATTCTGAAGAGGGCTTAAGAGTGAGACATTAGGGTACATCTAAGTCTGCTAAAATAGAACCATGGGGTAGTATAGGAAAATCTCCTCTTAATTTTGGATCATGCACTTTATATGGGCTCCCTGAGCATGGGCCCTGGTCTGATGGGATTAGTGCCCTTAGAAGAAGAGAAACTGGAGAGCCCCCACTGCCCTGGTGTGAGGAAACATGACAGGAGGCCGTCTGCAAGCCAGGAAGAGGCCCTT